GGGGCCAACTCGACGGCACATAGCAACAACAACACAGAGCAAAGAATGAAGAAAAACAAAGACACATGGAAACAAAAGCTGGGTGATGGATATGTAGGGTTTCATTATACTGTCATCTTTATTTTGAATATGTTTGAAAATCAAGAGAATAGTAAGCATCAAATTCAAGATAGTGTGACCTCCAGGGGTGAAGTTAAGGGACATAGGAAAAAGAGCATATAAACAGATGGGATTGTATTGGTGATATGTAAATTCTTAAGTTGGGTGATGACTTTACAGGTATTATTTATTATGCTGTGTGACATCCGGATGTCTTATATACATACTTCTTTTATATTTATCAAATATCACATACTGACATTTAAGAGAAATAAGAAGAGGGGTGGGAAAAGAACAAACTATTATCCTAAAGAAAGCTGGCATAGTTTTTCCAAAAAGAATGATAAAGGGTAAAAGATTTCCCCATGAGAAAAGGAACAATCACTGGAAATAAAATTGCAAACATAGTTTCAAATTAAATTAAAAAAATCAGCATGACTAGAAGAATTTGATGAAAACACGGTCTTTTAACACATTTCAGTTAAAAAGCAAACAAAAGTTTATTAACTATATAATATTTGAACATTGAAAAATATATTTAATGGACATATGTAGAACCCTAAAAACCCTATTTAAAACTTCTTTCCAAGCACACATAATACTCAGTCACAAAACAAGTATCAACATATACCAAAGAATGGATACTATGTTGGTCATAATACTTTCTGACAAAAAATGCAATTAAGTTATTTGATGATAGTTTAGCTTTTTAGATTTTTATCACAGAAACGTATTTCGAAGAGCCCTAGCATACACATGATTGCACAGAAGCTTTGGAAAACAAACTCAGGCTTCTTTAAACCTAAAGAAGAAAAGTCAAAAACATTGGAAAAAGCTGAGAAAAAATGCAATAAAGTTAGAAATGAGTAAGAAAAGGACAAAGAAAAAGTCATGGTTGGAATTTTTAAAATGCACCTCTGAATGTTTCAAAACACAATAAACTCAATGTAGAAGAAATAAAGAGCAAAAATTAATGACGTAGAACACAAATAATGGAATCAACAAACCACAAGCAGTTTCTTTCAGCGTACCAAAAAAGGAAACCTCTGGCAACATCTATCAACCAAAAAAAAAAAGATTAGGCACAGATCATATTAACAATGAACAAAGGGTGAACTAAAGATAAAACAGAGATTTTAAAATATCAAGATAATGAGCAGCTTGATGTCAATAAATTTGAAAATATAAAAAAATGAACAATTTTTTTAGAGAAAATATTTTTTAAACTGTTAAGGTAAAACAATAAAGCTTTTAGAAGAAAATAGAGTTGAATGTCTTCATGACCTTATGGTAGACACAAAAAACATAAAGGAAAAAATTTGATAAAATGGACCACATTAAAATTAAGAACTGTGTTTATCAAATATAACTGTTAAAAGCATGAAAAATCCATCCACGTAGTGGGAGAAGATAATTAAAATCTACATATCCAGGATTTATAAAGGTTATAATAAGGGAGCTCTGGTAGCATAGTGCCTAACGCACTTGACTGCTAACCAGAAGGCTGGCAGTTCAAACCCACCAGCCACTCCTCAGAAGGAAGATGGGGCAATCTACTTCCGTAGTGATACTGCCTCGGCAACCCAAGGAGGGGTCACTATGAGTCAGGTCCGACTCGACGGCACATACAACAATAACAACAAAGTGGCACAGTGGGTAAGACATTTTGCTACTAACCAGAAGGTCAGCAGTTCAAACCCACCAGCTGCTCTGTAGAAGGGAGATAAGGCAATCTACTTCTGTAAAGATTTGCAGCCTTGGAAACCCAATAGGGGTCACTATGAGTAGGAATCAACTCTGCAGTAGGTTTGGTTTTGGTTTATAAGAGAGGAGCCCTGCAGGTGCAGTGGTTAAGCACTCGGTTGCTAACCAAAAAGTTGGTTCAGACCCACCAGCCAATCCACAAGAGAAAGATGGAGCAGTATGTTTCCATACACATTTATAGCCTTGGAAACCCTACAGGGCAGTTCTGCTCTGGCCTATACGGATGCTATGAGTTGGCATTGACTTGACAGCGTTTGCTTTTTGGTTTATAATAAAAGAAGGAACATAATAGGAAAATTGGCAAGAGTTATTTCAAAAAGTGAACAGGCAGTGAAGAGGTCATTTTACTCTTACATGGCTCTAATGTACCAGATCAAAAAAGGAGTTTGCAGGCTGTACATTTTTTTTTTAAAAGGACCCCAATCCATTGCCATCGAGGTCCTTCTTTCACTCTTTGTGGAAGCAAACTGCCTCATCTTTCTCCCACAGAGTGGCTGGTGGGTTTGAACTGCCAACCTCTCGGTTAGCAGCCCAATGCTTTAACCACTACACCACCAGCGCTCCTTTTTAAAAGAAAAGTATAGGAGAATTCGGGGAGAGATGAAAGGAGTGGGTATTTAAGCACATAATTCTAAAGTTTTTAAATTGTGTTATTTTAAATAATTTTAGTATTTTACTCACCACTACTCCACAGAGGTTGTATTTAGGATGTTTCCGAAAAACTGGATGAATATAAGGAGTGAGGTCCAAGTTGGTGAGTGGGTAATGAATATCCGTTCTCAGTTTTCTTTTCATTGTACCCTGAATGTCAAACCTAGAGGGGATAAGTGTGTGCAGTATAAAGTAAGTTTATGAATCGTTATTCATGAATGAAGTCCACATACCTTGACAAATTCCAAATACAGTTAACAGTCATTTCTTGGCAAGATTATCTGGTGCACACCTATACAGAAATTACTATTTTTCTTGTGTAAGTATATTTAGAAATACTACATCCATATGGCTTACCAAAACTGAGACTGGACTGGGTCAGGGAGACAGTGTTGATTTCAAGCTAAGCTGATAGCAGACAGATGGGAAGCGGGAAAAACAGAAAGGCCCAGCACTGGGAGAAGTGGAAACCACACTGATAAGTCCCCAGGTCTTTGCTTCAGCGGATACTGTTCATTCCAATCAGACCGGCTCAGCTTTTTCTTCATCTTGGTTTCAGCCCATGTTTTCTTGGCAGTGTCCTATTTTCAAACTCTGAGGTTTTAATAAGATGAAAATTTGTAAAAAGCTTGTCAAATTCTGAACTTGTTATATAGATCAGCAGTCCCTACGTCAGAGCTCATCAGATTCACCCAGAAAGTTCTTCAGAATAATTAATGCTCATTTTGGAAAAATTGCTTGTTCAGGTCTGGGGCAGGGAAATTGCTAGGTGAGCCTGAGACATTACTACGCCAAAAAGCAACATATTTGGTCGTTAAAAACTAATGGAATAAAACGTTGTTCTTGTCGTTAGGCGCTATTGAGTCAGTGCTGACTCACAGCGACCCTATGTACAGTAGAACAAAACACTGCCCGGTCCTGTGCCAGCCTCACAATCCTTGCTATACCTGGACCCATCATTGTAGCCACTGTGCCAGTCCATCTCGTTGAGGGCCTTCCTCTTTTTTGGCTGACCCTCCACTTTACCCTCCAGAGAATGGTCCCTTCTAACAACATGACCAGAGCAGGCGAGACGAAGTCTGGCCATTCTCGCTTCCAAGGAACATTCCGGCTGCACTTCTTCTAGGACAAATTTGTTAGTTTTTCTGGCAACCCATGGTACTTTTAATATTCTTCACCAACACCACAACTCAAAAGCATCAACTCTTCTTCAGTCTTCCTTATTCATTGTCCAGCTCTCACATGCATATGAGGTTATTGAAAATATCATGGCTTAGGTTAGGCGCACCTTAGTCTTCAAGGAGACATCTTTTCTCTTTGGCACTTAAAGTCTTTAAGAGGTCTTTTGCAGAAAATTAACCCAGTGCAATACATCATCTGATTCTTGACTGCTGCTTCCATTGATGCCAATTGTAGAACCAAGTAATATGAAATCTTTGACAACTTCAAGCTTGTCTCCATTTATTGTGATGGTACTTATTGGTTCAGTTGTGAGCATTTTTTGTTTTCTTTATGTTCAGGTGTAATCCATACTGCAGACTGTAGTCTTTAATTTTCAGTAAGTGCTTCAAGTCATCTTCACTTTCAATAAGCAAGGTTGTGTCATCTGCATATTGCAGGTTGTTAATGAGTCTTCTTCCAATCCTGATGCTGCGTTCTTCTTCATGTAGTCCAGTTTCTCAGATCATTTGTTCAGCATACAGATTGAATAAGTATGGTGGAAGGATACAACCCTGACACACTCCTCCCTTCCTGATTTTAAACAATGCAGTATCCCCTTGTTCTGTTTGAACAACAGCCTCCTGGTCTGTGTACAGATTCCTCATGAGCACTGTTAAATGTTCTGGAATACCCATTCTTCTCAATATTATCCATAATTTGTTATGATCCACACAATAGAATGCTTTTGCATGGTCAATAAAAAGTAAACATCTTTCTGGTATTTGTTGCTTTCAGCCAAGATCCATCTGACATCAGCAATGATATCCCTGACTCTATGTCCTCTTCTGAATCCACCTTGCATTTCTGGAAGTACCCTATCAATATACCACTGCAATCGTTTTTCCATGTCCTCTTCTGAATCCAGCTTGCATTTCTGGAAATACCCTATCAATATACCACTGCAATCGTTTTTCCATGTCCTCTTCTGAATCCAGCTTGCATTTCTGGAAATACCCTATCAATATACCACTGCAATCATTTTTCAATTATCTTCAGTAAGATTTTACTTGTGTGTGATATTAATGATATTGTTTCATAATTTCTATTCTGTGGAAATTCTGTGGTATCACAATTTTTTTGGAATGGGTACAGATATGGATCTCTTCCAGTTAGTTGTCCAGGTAGCTGTCTTCCAAATTTTTTGGCATAGACAAGTACCTCTAGTACAGCATCCATTTGTTAAGACATCTCAATGGCTATTTTGTCAATTCCTAGAGACTGTTCACCAATTCCTTCAGTGCAGCTTCGACTTCTTCCTTCAAAACCATCAGTTTTTGGTCATATGCCACTTCCTGAAATGGATGAACATGACCAAATCTTTTTGGTACAGTGACAATGTGTATTCCTTCTATCTTCTTTTGATGTTTCCTGCATCAGTCAATATTTTGCCCATAGAATCTTTCAGTATTGCAACTTGAGGTTTGAATCTTTTCTTCATTTCTTTCAGCTTGAGAAATGTTGAGCGTGATCTTCCCTTTTGGTTTTCTAACTCCAGGTCTTTGCACATTTCATTATAATAATTGGCTTTGTCTTCTTGAGCTGCTCTTTGAAATCTTCTGTTCAGCTCTTTTCTGTGTCATTTCTTCCATTTGCTTTAGCTACTCTTCATTCAAAGGCAAGTTTCAGAGTCTCTTCTAACATCCATTTTGGTCTTTTCTTCCTTTCCTTCCTTTTTAATGACCTTTCACTTCCTTCATGAATGATATTCTTGATGTCATCCCCCAATTCATCTGCTTTTCAGTCACTGGTGTTTAATGTGTCTAATCTATTCTTTAGATGGTTTCTAAATTCAGCATCAACAGTGGCTGTACACATGGACTTCACCATATGGAATACACAGGAATCAGATCAATTACATCTGGGCAAAGAGATGATGGAAAAGTTCAATATCTACAGCCAGAACAAGGCCAGGAGCATACTGTGGAACAGACCATATGCAAGTTCAAGTTGAAGCTGAAGACAATTAAAACAAGTCCACAAGAGCCAAAATATGACCTTGATTATATCCCACCTGAATTTAGAGACCATCTAAAGAATAGATTTGACTGTCTTCCTTGTAGGTGTATGGATATTATCCCTGAGAGCATTGTACTTTGGGGTAGATCTTGAAACATTCTTTGTGACAAGGAATAACATGCCATTCCTCTTCAATTTGTCATTCCCGGCCTAGTAGATCATATGGTTGTCTGATTCAAAATGGCTGAAACCAGTCCATTTCAGCTCACTTATACCTGGGATATCAATCTTTATGCATTCCATTTCATTTCTGACAACTTCCAATTTTCCTACTTTCATACTTCATATGTTCCATGTTCTGAATATTAATGGATGTTTGCAGCTGTTTCTTCCCATTTTGAATCATATTACATCTGCAAATGGAGTTCCTGAAAACTTTACTCCATCCATGTCATTAAGGTCAACTTAATTTGAGGAAACAGCTCTTTCCCATCATATTTTGAGTGCCTTCCAACCTGAGAGGCTCATCTTCTGGCACTATGTCAATGTTACAGAGCTGTTCATAAAGTTTTCCAGTCTTGCATCAGACAGTGTTTCACTGCTATTCACAGGGTTTTCACTGGCTGATTCTTTGAAAAATGGACGGCCCCTTCTTCCAAGTCTGGAAGCACTGCTGAAACCTGTCCACCATGGGTGACCCTGCTGGTATTTGAAATACTGGTGCCATAGCCTCTAGCCTCACAGCAACACATAAGCCACCACAGGATGACAAACATACTTACTATTTGTGAGTATTCATAGCATTATTCACAATAGCCGAAATGTGAAAAACACCCCAATGCTCGAGCAACTGGCAACGGAGCTGAGACAATAGGGCAATAAGATTTAACTGGATATTCAAATTAGACATCAATTCTTGTTTCTAAGAAGAAATTTACTGACCTAAATACATTTTATTTTGAGTCATCGATTTGCTCCAAAATTGACAGAAAAATGCATGTTGTAAAACTGCCTAGCTAGGCCAATATTTATCTTTACACCCATTCATGTCCTTTCCATACCTTCAAATCTGCCTACAAAATGCCAAAAAACATACCTTTTTAAATGAAAAATAATTATTTTTGGTGCTTTGGACAGACTGGCCCTCACTGCTGTTACTTGCTTGGCTTCACAAACAGAGCAATGAATTTGGTCATTCCAGGTCAGTGTGTCTTGTTGAAAAAAACACTGGAGGCAGTCCTATTGAGAAAAAAAGCATTTGGTGACCAAATTGGATCAACTGGAACCTGTGGTTTCTTGCTTATATCAAAATTTTAGAATAGCCCCAGAAATCTAATCCTTAAAGTTTTTCTCAAAGTCAAGTCCAAGAGATATCAGGTCACAAGTTGCAACCTGGATAGCTAGCTACAAAACCTACCTGGCAAAGGAGATGTTTCTTTCTTATTTGGTTACTGAAATGGGTCCAAGTGCCAACTCATTTATTATCTCTGAATCAGCATCTTTAAGATTCTTGTTGATTTCAGAATAATATTGACTTTGCAGTTTCCACTAACCAAACCAGGCAGCTATTTTATGTTATTCATCTTATTACTAAAGTGATCTGGAGATTGAGAAATGGTCATATCACAGCCTTTGGAGTGGCCATAATAAAGAACAGAGATAAATTAGATCCCAGGTCTACAGCAGACATTTGTTACACATTGATCCAAGGTCTCCTGGATCTCCAAGGATGGGGCCAAAGCCCCCTAATTTTAAAAAAGTCAGATCTTTGCCAACTCTGTTCTGATGTGTGGGGCTGCCATTAAGGTGTGCCAGGGCATGGGGCCACCGCCCGAAGCTGAGGGACAAGGCCGCCATGGCCAAGGGGCAGAAGAAGAGGGTCTGCCAGGGCCAAGGAGGTAGAGTCAACAGTCAGATGGACTAGGAGAATGGAGCCACCCAAAGCTGAGAGAGCAGAGTTGCCATCCCACTGGGCTGAGAGGGGGAGCTGAAGCCCAGGGGCCAAAAGACCTCCACCCAGAATCCAGAGGGCATGGTTAACACCCAGAATCTGGAGGCAGGGCCATTGACCAGATGGTCTCAGAGAACAGAGAATTCTTTTCAAGCCTTAAGAACTAAGGTAATTTGTTTTGCTGGGTTTTGGATTTGCTTGGTACCTGTTATTCCCTGCTTTCCCTCCAATTTCTCCCATTTGTAATGGAAATATCTACCTGTTCTACCTCTGGTAGCGTAGTGCCTAAGGCACTTGACTGCTAACCAGAGGCTGGCAGTTCAAACCCAGCAGCCACTCCTTGGAAGGAAGGTTGGGCAATCTACTTCAATAGTGATACCGCCTCAGAAACCAAAGGAGGGGTTGCTATTAGTCGGGTCTGACTTGACGGCAAATAACAACAACAACAACTGTTCTACCATTGTACTTTGGAAGCAGGTAACTTGTATTCTAGATTTCACAGGTTCACAAATGAAGAGGAGGAGTTTTGCCCCAGAATACACCTAAAGTTTCACCCATATTTAATTTAAATGATTCAGAGGGTGAGATTTTGGACTTGGAGTTGTTTTAAGACTTTTGCAATGATGGGATGGGATGGATGTGTTTTCCATATGGCAAGGATGTGAATTTTGGGAGGCCAAAGGAGGAAATGTTATGGATTGAATGATGCCCACCCCTCCACCCCCGAAAAAAGTATGTATTGTAAATCCTAATCTCTATGCCATTGGTTATAATCCCATTTGGGAATGGGTTGTCTTTATTATGTTAATGGACAGGAATAGTGTAGGGTGCATCCTGAGTTAATCTCTTTTGAGATATAAAAGAGATGAAACACAAGCTAGCAAGCAGAGACAGGGGAAGAGAGATGCCAGGCCACATGAAGTTCGCCCAGGAGCAGAAGTCCAAAGAGACAAGGACCTTCCTTCAAAGCCAACAGAGAAAGAAAGCTTTCCCCTAGACCTGGCACCCTGAATTCAGACCTCCAACCTCCTAAACTGTAAGAAATAAATTTGTTTGTTAAAGCCACCCACTTGTGATATTTGTTATAGCCACTGTTCTGGTTACCTAGTGCTGCTCTGACGAGAACTATACCACAAATGGGATGGCCTTAACAAACAGGAGTTTATTCTTACAATTTGGAGGCTTTAAGTCTAAGTTCAAAGTGCCAGACTCTAGGGGCTGGGTGAAAGCCCCTCAAACTTTCTGCCTCCTGCTCCTGGCCCACTGGAGCTAGAGGCGTTTCTTCACTCAGACAGCTGCTGGCTGCTGAGGCTGAGAAGCCCCAAGGTTGACAAGTCAAAAGGCACAGTCCCGATGTTACCAAACCACATGGCAAGCCATTAACTTAAGTCCATGGTAAGTTCCAAAGTCGGTAGAGCATAGCAGGCTGGTGAGCAATGACACGGCTACATGCAGGGTCCAAGCGTGCCATAGGCTGGATACCATTCCCAAGGCTTCTCCTTAAATACAGAAAGCAGACCACGTACCCAAAGGCAGCTACTCAGCTGCTCCAAGTAGATTCCACCATGGAATTGATTACCAGTCTCATCATGAGAAATAACTACCACCAGCTGCCCAGCCACTCAACCAGGCCCAGCCAAGTTGACACACAAACATAACCACCACAGCTGCACTAGAGAACTAAGATACAGCTAGGTCCTGGGCCCTGCAAACCATTAAGCTAAAGACAAAGATGAGAAAGACAATGCCAGGACCTCAATTTAAAGTGTCTTTGGCATTCCTTTCAGGCACTCTTTAGCCATTTGAGCTGAAAATAAAGCCCAGTCCTGAATAAGTGATAGGATTCTAGTCTCCAGTTCTGGTATTTGGAAATAGCTATGTGTATAAACATTTAAAAGTAGATGTGCTTTCATGGATCAGGAAGAAAATATATAAATTTGTATTATTCTGCAAGCAAACTTACTGCTTCCTGTCTCCCAACCATTCTCTGCCACCCACCTCTTACAGATTACCTCTTGGCATTATGGTGACGGAAAATAGGCCCACTAAGGCACGGGATTCCACTCACCATTTCCAACATATTACACAGCTTTAGTCTAAAATATAAGACACTCAAGACTGAAAGTCAAAATCTTTCATATCTGTTCCTGAACTGAGGCTGCAGACCTCTGGGGTGAGGGAGAGCCTTGCATGTTTTTATAAGATACAACAAATGCTATATATGGGACTGGATAAATGTTACCTCTGTTTCTAGTTGTACAAATGTTTTGTTGAGTACATTTTCAAAGTAAATTTTGGCCAGTATGTTGCTTTTCAATCAAATGCTATCATCATGGGCTTCTTTTTCTTTCTTTCTTTTTTTTTTTTTTTAAATATTCTAACAGAGCCCCCTCATGCTAAACAATCTAGGAAATGACCCTGAGAACATACAATGCTGGTGTGGAATACAATAAAAGAAGTCTCCAGGAGCATGAAATCCTACCTGAAGAGAGCATTCATACTCAGATGGAATGGGGAGGGAGAGGACTGTGAAGATTTCACTCTTATGGGTGCAGTTCTCACACTTTAGACAGATGATGCCATAACTGAGCTGCCCTTCAAACAGCCGGGTGATGATGGAGGACTCGTTGGTAATCACCTTCCTGCAGCATCTTTGAGTAGATCCTTTCTCATATGATCTTCTTTGGTGATACTGAATCAAGGGACAAATTCCCCCAGTCCCACGAATGAACCATTGGTTATAACAGAATGATTTTTTTTTTTTTTTCCTACCAGAATAGTACACTGCTATCAGAACCACTTAGTTTTAGATTCAGACAATAAATACATCTTCCGAAGAAGATATATTTTATGTAGTTGCTGTTAACTTAGATATGTTCCCCTTTAAGTCAAGCTGAGGAATGATGGCACCTCGACTCTGCCAGGCCCATAAGCCCACAGCCCAAGACAGCTGGATGAGTGGCCTGGAGCTAGTTTGTTCTGGGAAGAGGGTAAGCTGTTGGACGACATTCTGATCTAGAGGTAAAATACAGAAACTTCATCTTTCCTCTGGCCCCTTCAGGCTATGCTCCCCATCTTTTTCTCCTCTTACTGTTAGAAAATATATATATTTTAAGAGCAAATCTTAAATTACTAACACAGCTAAATTTAACTAGCCTTGCGGTCTAGTTTGAATCTAGCTCAATGTAGTATTTCAGGGCACACACCCTGAATTCTCGTCATTTTTACGGCTGCAGTAGAATATGTGTTTTGAGGAGTCATTAGCTCCACAGCTGCCTGTAATTTGTAACTGGGCATGGGTTTCTGCATTTGCTTGCTTCTCTCATCCCCCTTTGCTTCCGAGGTCTTCCACCTTGACAGTAACTTAATGCCCTTTCCAAGTTCAGCGGAAATCAGAATGCTATTTATTTCAGATGGGCTGCACGTGAGGACTCCGGTGATTTTTACTGATCACCACCATCCCTTCCAGCTTAAAAAAAGTCCTAATTGACGTGAATATCTTGTTACTAGTAAAAATGAAAACTGGAATTGAGTCTTGAAAGTGAGAATAATTAATGGCTATAGTTTGTGGCGTTTGTGCCAACTATTTCCTGAATGTTAGCTATGAGATGAGCTCACTCAGTCAGCACAAGGACACAGCATAAAGTCAAGGCCCTGTCTTTGCAGTGGGTGGGTCGTAGACTAACTCTGAAGGCAATGAGTCTTGTGGATGAAGACAAACCCTCTAGAAGCAAGGGATTTCATGCTTTACCAGATGTACTTCCTAATCTAATGAAGAGCTCAGGTTAGGCATACTTAGTATGAACATACCTTATAGTGTATGGATTTACCCGTAATCTAATACCAAACATATTTTCATGAGTGTGTACTTATCCTGCAAGTCTATTTTAAGTTGTAAAGTTTTCATAAGGAATATATTTTTTAAAAAATGACTACTGTAAAAATAGTCCATGCAGTTTTTATTTACAAAGGACTAGATTCGTGATGGAACCCCAGGGTGGGGCAAATGGTTAATACACTCAGCTGCTAACCCACAGGTTGGAGGGTTGAGTCCACCCAGAGATGCCTCAGAGGAAGGGCCTGGTGATCTGCTTCTGACAGAGCAACACTGACAGTCCTGTGGAGAGCTCTGCTCTGACCCATGGGGTCCCCACACGTCAGAACTGGTTACATTAGTGGTTCCTACAGCTGGACGCTCACTGAAAATGGTGAGATTTTTTAAAAGCCAGGAAGACTGCAGTGGGGGTATTAGAATCTGTGTTTTAAAATCTCCCCAGGTGGTTCTGATGATTAGCTAAATTTAGTAAAACAAACCTATTTAACACTGGCATGAATGTTCCACGAGGTACCCCAGCACCTAGCAGGGTGCTTGGCGCAGAGTAAGTAGATATTTCCTTAGTGAATAAAAGACTGGAAAATGAAAGTAGCTAATAAAGCCGAAGGCCAATCCTATCTCAAAGCCATTTACTCCATTTACCTTTTTCAGCGCTTCATGAAGTTCATTCAGGGCACAAATCAGGAATTCTTGCGCATCCTGCTGTGTCTTTTTCATAAATGCTGGGTAGATGTTTCCGAGAGCTGACCAAAATATTTCTGGTGAGACACAGTCTGAGTCTCCAAGCCACATGTCTGTCATCAGATAGGCAAAAGCAGTGGCCACCTCACTGCAGCTCCTTAGAGGAAGGAAAGGATGTGTTTCTGGCTGATTTAATGAAATGAAAGCACTTAAAAACTTGAGCATAGGACATCAAAAAAACTGCAGCTTCGTTCATTTTTCAGTTGACCTTTCCACTTTACTCACCATGGATATGTTATTTGGGTACAATTCCCTGTCAGGAATTGTAAATTTGAAAGGAAACTTTGATTCTGTAGGAAGGTGCTGTGTGGGTTTGGGAGAGAGACGGTGCCAGCCCTACCTAGAAGTATAGAAGTAGAGTCTTTGATGTGAAAAATTGTGAAATTGTTCAGTACAGATTAGTAAATTAGCACAAGTAATCCGACACTGTTTGGGTAGCTGCAGCCTTTACTGACTGGGTTAGCCCTTAAGAGGGACAACAAGATAGTTCCTTCCCTAACTTCACCTTAGGGAATAGGGGTTCGGGACTGGGCCAGAGGGAGCACAAGTGGTCTTACTTTTGAAGAGCAGTAATATACTTTCCGGAGAGAAAGTATTCCACCAGCGGCGAGATGCTGCTGAGACACTGTAAGATGGCATTCATGTAGCACGTGTTGCCCAGGTTCCGCAGACCAGTCACACCTTGCAGGTGGGGCTGGTTCTCATCAGCCTCATTCACGGGGATGGTATAGTCATCTGCACGTTCTCCGCTGTGTTGGTGCCACGTACAAAGAAAGGAAGGAATTTTGAGGGAACAAAATGTGTACAAATTAGTATAAGCCCTTCAACCTCATGAAACAATGAGGAGGTCTTAATATGACATCCCTCAAACACGTTCTCTATCATGAATAGCAGTATCCTGACTGGAAGTCTAAAATTGCATTGCTTTTTACTAAACTTTTGAACAACTGCCTGCAGCCAAGTAAGTCAGAGAGCAATGTTTATTCCTAAAACCAAAGCAAAAGGACAGAAAATATCTGCCTTTCAGAGTCCTAGAATTGCCAGGCTAAAAATGCAAACATTCCCACTATAGTTAGGTTGCGAGGATTAGAGTAAATGGGCAAGTAAGTTATTTTTAGTAGTAACAGTAATAATAACAATAGCTAGGAGCTCTGGTGGCATATTGCCTAAGGCATTTGACTGCTAACCAGAAGGCTGGCAGTTCAAACCCTGCAGCCATTTCCTTGGAAGGGAAGTTGGCAATCTACTTCTGTAGTGATACGGCCTCAGAAACCCAAAGAGGGGTCGCTATGAGTTGGATCCAACTTGACAGCTGTTTGTTTGAGTAGTTAATTGTAACAACAGCTACAATTTACTGAGCCCAGCATTATATTATATGTTTAACATGCATTTTTCTATTTACTCCTTACAACCAACTCTGTGGGGTAGGTACAGTTATTATTATTATTTTTATTTAATTTTAATTTTTATTGTGATTTGGATGAAAGTTTACTGAGCAAAATCATTTTCCACACAGCAGTTCATACACATTTTGTCTCATAACATTGACTGCAATTCCCCACAATGTAACAGCTCTCTTCATACTTCCTCCCCCTAATTACCTCTTCCTGTGTCCTTCCCTCCCATGCACTTCCACCCCTCCGAGCTGTCTCCTTGTGCAAACACTGCTCTTCTGTTCTCCCATAACTGATAGTGCCAAGTAGTGTATCTACCTGATGTAAATGTTCAGCCCATATGCCTATCTGTTGTTTGGCTGGAAGCCACAGGAGTGAGCTCAATTCCAGACCTGAAGGGTAGCTAGGGGCCACAGTCTCAGGGGTCTCACCAGGCTCTATCAGACCAGCAAACCTGGTCTTTTTTTTTTATGATTTTGAGTTTTGTTCCATATTGTTCTCCCACTCTATCCAGGATCTCCTGCACCAATCTCTCACCAAATGGTTGACAGTGGTAGCTGGACACCATCTAGTTTTTCTGGTCTCAAGGTCATATAGGCTGAGGATTGCATGGTGTACCAGTCCCTTGGACTAATTGTTTCCATGTGTCCTTAGTTTTCTTCATTCTTCTTTGCTCTGGATGAGGAGAGACCCATCATTGCATCAAGATGGTCGCTTGCAAGCTTTTAAGATCCCAGTCGCTACTCACCAAACTAGGAGGTAGAACAATGTTTTTGTGTAGTATGTTATGCCAATTGAGCTCGTTGTCTCCTGTGACCATGGTCCTGAACCCACAGGTCCAACTACTTGCTTCCTCTGGGTAGCTGACTGTGGCCAAGAAGCCACCACAACCTTGTCCCTTGTCAGTTCTACTATACACCTGGACATTTTTAGAGCACATACAAATTCACATGTAGAAACATTGTCTGTTAATCCTATACATGCTCATGGGCAGACTCCCCCCTGCATAGACATACCTGATTGTTCAGCCTGTCCACCTATCTATCTACCTGCAGACTGATGCTTGCCATCACTGACAACACAATATTGTGCATGCAAAAGTGTTCGTCTTTGTTGTCTGTACCTCTCATACACCTCTCTATGTCTTCCTCTTTCTCAATGCCACTGTGTTGATCACTCACATTTGAGGTACATTGCCTTTCCCTTCATCTGAATCTATACTTCTCTCTACCTATCTAACAGTGTTCCCTCCCCTCCCCTCCCCCCCGGTAACCAACAAAGAAAATTTCCTTGTATAAGTAAAGCTTTCCTTGACATTTTACAATATGAACTAATACAATATTTGTCCTTCTACGATTGACTTATTTCACTCAGCATAATGTCCTCCAAGTTCATCCATATTATGCAGTGTTTTGTAGATTCTATGTTACTCTTTAGGGTTGCATAATATTCCATTGTGTGCATGTACGGTAGTTTGGTTATCCATTCTTCTGTTGATAGGCACCAAGGTTGTTTCCATCTTTTAGCTATTGTAAATAGTGCTGCGATGAACATGGGTGTGCATATATCTGTTCTTGTTCTGGCTGTCACTTCTTTACGATACATACCTAGTAATGGGATTGCTGAGATCAAATGGTATTTCTAATTCCAACTTTAAGGGCTCACCATACAGTGTTCCACAGTGGTTGTATCATTTTACAGTCACTATGGGATAGATAGGGAACTCTGGTAGCATAGTGCCTAAGGCACTTGACTGCTAACCAAAAGGCTGGTGGTTCAAACCCACCAGCCACTCCTCAGAAGGAAGGTTGAGCAATCCTACTTCTGTAGTGATACCACCTCGGAAACCCAAGGAGGGTTTGCTATGAGTCAGGGCCAATTTGACGGCACACAACAACAACAACAACATGGGATAGATACAGTTATTTTAAGTCCCATCTTACAGATGCAGTAGCATATTTAAATGGCTTAGTCATTTGCCTATGCTAACATACAGAGAAGTAGGTAGTTATATGTAGAAAGGGAACATCTATCTATCTATCTGAACGATTTGGATTTATTGTGTGTGTTTGTGTGCATATTTATACATACATACATACATTGTATATGTGTGTGTATATGTGTGTGGGTATATCTATCTATCTATCTACCCACACACATATTGAGAGCATAATAAAACCCATTGCCCTAGAGTCAATTGAGTTATAGTGACCCTATAGGACAGAGTAGAACTGCCCCAAAGGGTTTCCACGGCTGTGAATCTGGATGGAAACACTGCCTCATCTTTCTCCGTGGAACAGCTGGTGGATTCCAAACTTTCTAGTTGGCAGGTGAGTGCTTAGCTTAACCTCATCACCACCAGGGCATATATAAAAAGCATCCATATACATTAAGAACACGTACACCCAGAGAGAGAGAAATAGACAGTAAGAGGATAGATACATCTCCGTTTACAGCCTGACTGTCACCAGTTACATGACCTAGGGCTCTGGCCTGTTTGTCATCTATAAAATGGTAATCATATCACTTGCCTTATAGGGTTGTGAGGATTAGATTAAATGATACAAGGTACCTGGAACGGATTAAGTAATTAATACATGTCACCTTAAAAACAGTTTTTGAAAGAAGTGGTCATCTAGGATGTCTGAACAGTCAGCTGCTCTGTGGGCGGGCCAGGCCAGCGCAGAGGTTAGTGCTCCTCCTCGGCCCCAGAGCCTCCTGTGGTCGCTCATCACACTGCTCCAGGCAGCCCAGGAGTTCTGTCTTTATGATTTTTTTTCCATGCATGCTATCTAAAATTGGGGTTCTGTGAGGCATCTGCCTCGCCTCAGCACCTCTCCTTACAGTTAAGCCAGTTTGAAAAATGCTCACTCTTATTGCTACGGGAGGCCAGGGCTCTCACTCTGTAGGAAGTACATGTATCTGTCTAGTGCCTAGATATTAGATAACATCTTCCCGTCTTTCCTTGGGGTCCTCCCCTGGGTCACACCTGGGGAAACCTTCTAAATGCATGTGCCCTCGGACTCCTTTGACCTTGGCTTTTGCCCTGAACTGAGCTTATCTAGAAAGCTGAAGTAGATAGCAAGCGCTCACAGGACATAGTAGATACAGAAGTCATCTTTCGGGAAGGGCTGCTGAGAAGTCATTTTAATGGAACAACGTCCGACTTCTATTCAGGCGTGACTTCCAATCCTTTAAACTTCATTTCTCTGAGCTCCTCTCCCCTTTCAGTAGCTGCAAACTGATTGCCAGCTGCACTTCAGGCACCATTCCAACTTAGATTTTTCCCTGAATCACAATCCTCTCTGTTCACTCTCAAGATTCTAACATGTTGCTATGAGATGCTGTTACTTGGCTGTTTTAAATGCTTTCACAAGATTCTATTTCAGAGCAAGAACTGCTTATGTAACCTCTCTTGCTCCATCCCTCCTTTTCCCTTGTGTAGAGCATAGGACACAGACTCTATTCCCAGGTAAACAAATCTCCCCTTTGTTTCCTTTCCCTTATCTGGGGAAACACTTGTTGTTATGTGCCTTCAGTGACCCCTCCTTGAGTTTCTGAGGCAGTATCACTATGGAAGTAGATTGCCCAACCTTCCTTCCAAGGACTGGCTGGTGGGTTTGAACTGCCCCTTTCTGCTTAGCAGTCAAGTGCCTTAGGCACTATGTGGAAACTGCATTGGCCTACTTTTCAATATACAAGACAAGTAAGTTAACCCAGTAAACACAGAAAGACCCCAGCTCGGACTTCAGATTCTGTTGGACACCCAGGGCCAACAGTTAGCATTTTTTTTCCATTAAAAACATTTTAAACTAAAAATTAATATGTGCTCATTATTTCAAAAGTCCAACAACACAGAAGCACACAGATTAAAAATGAAATCCCTCTGTAATAGGGGAAAAGAGACTCCACATTCAAAGAGGTTCAATATTATCCTCGGACAGGATAAAGACAATCATCCAGGATGAGGGAAAACATCAGCAAGAACACAGTACAGAAAGCTGAATGTAATCCGCTGAGTCGTGGCCATGGGGCTGATTATATATGACTGAAAAAAATAGGGAATCATCACAAAATCCTAACTGGTGGCAGATCGACTCATCACTGTTACAGGCAAGACCACAGAAACAGGGAAAAGGCCATGATTGGGAATTGAAGATAGAAAAGGGTTACACAGCCTGAGTCTGAGCCACAAGGTGGCTATCAAACAATACCAAGACCCCAACCTTAATTTAAATTAGAAAAAGACACTCTCAGGCAAACTCACTAGTTCCTTGCGTGAGCATAATCTACCTTCAAGTATGTTGTTGTTGTTGTTGTTATGTGCCATCAAGTTGGACCCGACTCACCCTTGGGTTTCCAAGGCAGTATCACTACGGAAGTAGATTGCCCCATCTTCCTTCCGAAGAGTGGCTGATGGGTTTGAACCTCCAGCCTTCTGGTTAGCAGTCAGTGCATTAGGAACACTTCCTTACTTTTTGGCACAGTAGGATCTTCTAGGTTTATCTTCTGCATTCCCTGCCCTAGTCCTGAAGTCAGGCATTTCTCTAAAAGCCCAGATTTCTTTTAGTGAATGGTATCCAGAAACCAGGATCTGGGAGCTAGGTGCATTCATGCTGTACTCATGAGTATAGCACTGCTTCCAGGTACTCCCAATAGAAAGTGTGAGGGAATAGCTGCATTTATGCATGTACCTAACATGCACACACATGTACTCACATGTATATCTCAGTATTATATTTTGAGAACCATGACAACCACTGACAATTCCAATTTCAAACCAACATTTCAGTTGGATACTAACAGTTACCTATACTTAAAATTCTTTGCTATTCATAAGGTTTTCCCTGGCCAGTTCTTTGAGAAGTGGACAGTCTCTTCCTTCTTCCTAGTCTGTCTCAGTCTATAAACTGGGCTGTTACCTGTGCACCAGGTGCATCTCGCTGGGTTTTAAACACCAGAGGCTCAGCCTCAAAACT